TGGCGCAATATGGTTCATGGGGTCACAAAGAGTCGGACATGACTTAACGACTGAACAATAACAACAATGTATTGATAGTTTACATTTTCATTATTTTATCTTAGTTCCATTTCTTTTGGGATTTCCAACCTTCCTATGCAAATACAACCTCAGTATTACCTGTGCTGCACACTCTTAAGCCAAGCTTCCCCATCAACCTCTAAAACTGGATGCTCTCTAACTCCTTTCACCACTTCTGCTCATTTTCAGTGACCGAATCTTGGTGATTTTTAGATAATCAGAGCAAGGATGGAATTAATTTACAAAACAAAATAGATAGGATTTTCTTAATGGGTTTTTAAATTAAGGCATACCAGTTTATGTTTGACTATTCTTACTTCCTCTGATACATTTACAAGACCCAACTATGGATCTCAAGAGCAAAAACAAATATATCCATGATCTAACTGAAGAGATAAAAATATATCACTCTGATTTGACATACATTTTAAGATAGTTCATTTAACTTGGTTTCTCTAGTAACTGATATGTCTCAACCATTATGGATATACTTGCAAAACTTGGATGAACAATTCAATTATGTTACAATACAATGCAATGTACATGAACTTTTGGAGACAAACTAAAATAATATGTTTCTAATTTTTTTAAAAAATTGACTTTTGGCAGAAAACGTTGAGAGAAAGAAAAAATGAGATTAAAAGATAAAAAAACACCTCTCTTTCAAACACATGTGTTCCCAAATGAATAAAACAAATAAATCCTCCACTATTTTTCTAGACATGGTCTACTGCACAATTAATATTCAAAAGAAATATGCAGGGTAGCAATTTGATATACGATTCTGGTATTTGTTATGCTTATTTGTATATTCTCTCTTGATAAATCTTCCCTATCTGTTCCCCCATGTTTCTACATATGGGTACCTTCCCATATAGCTTATTAAATGTACAACCTGAAAATCATTCCAGTTTTCAAGCATAAAACCAAAACTCTCTTCAAACCTTATTGTTAAATTATGCATTATTACTTCTGCCTCTATATAAAGTTTCACTTACAAGGTTTAATCTGGCTTAATTCCCAGTCCTTCAGCAAGGAACATTAGAATCCTCTTTCAATATACTTTGTGTTGGAGGAACCTTCCAATCCCACTATTTTTATATGCATTAGGAAGGAACTAAATAGGCATTCGGCCTCCCACTTTCGGAAACGGTGAGCATCACTATATTAATATATGGCAATACATTTCAGCACAGAGCACAAGCTGATAGCACTATCAAAAAACCAGGAACTCTCTTAGTCTTCGGAATTTTCCATATGTGTGCAGTGTACGTGTGGAAAATATACCTTCAGGTCCTCCCCATCTTGGATGCCTGTCTACTGCCACATCTTATCAGATGGTTGCCAAAATTATTCTCTCTCTGAAACCTCTACACTGATTTCACTAATGCACCGTATCCAACTAAACTGCACGCTCCAATGTTTCCTCCATTTCTCTCTCTGGCAAATGTGCTGTTACAGGATCTACGGTTTGGCAAATGACCGCATCCAATTTGTGTGCCATTTTAAAATAAAGGCAATGGCATTCTAAATGGACATGTAGAGGGTGCCCGTTCATTCTGCACTACACAGCAATACAAACATTCCTTATTTAATGAGGAATCATTTTGATCTTGTGACTTGCGTGGAGCTGGCGTAACAATCAACTGACTGATTAAATATTGTGAAAGAATATCATGAAAACTGTGATGCTAATAATACCTTAAGGATTGTTCTGTTAGCTACTCAAGCACAGCTCCTGTGGTACAAATTTGCTTTAAAAAGGGGGGGGGGAGTTATTTGACTTTGTTGATGTCTTTATCTTTCTTTTTTAATTGTAGGTTGTTGGCATGCCAGGAGAACAGATACGGTGGATTACAAGTAGTCCCCAGTTTAAGAATTAGTTCCATTCCCAAAGTCTGTCCTTAAGTCGAATTTGCATGTAAGCTGGAACAGTGTTATTGTATAATACTGTATAATTAGTATTGTGTAATTAAACCATTGTGTATTTAACTCGAATTTTGCTACAATAGGCTACGTTCTTAACTATGGGTCCTCTGTAAACCAGACGTTCTTAACTCAGGAACTACCTGTATTTGCATTCAATCTTTTAACATCATTTTAAAGAGTAATTTTCATTGTTTCACAAGAATAGCTGATTTCTTTTGTACTTGGATTGACCAAATACAAGTAAGTGTTTGAAACTAAGTTTACAGTTCCTAGTAAAAGGAACTTCTACTGCTTTAAGATTAAGATTATATTAAACTATTTTTTAAAATCAAATGTCAAGTGCAAGTTAGCTCCATTTCACCACATTTTTCCTCCAACGAAAAAGCTGCATCAGTAGATCAAATACTATAATAAACAACCATATGTGTGCAACTATCTTACCCTGTAACTACATCTATCTGCTTCATCCATCTGTTGTCAGGAAAACAGCTGTAAAGTTTAAAACATTTACAGAAATCTTTTGTTGTTCCCTACTGTTCAAGGGTCTGACAAAAAATGCACTTACAAGTTATTGTGGTTAAAAACCCATGCTAAAAATGTAAGCCAAGTAAAGCAGAATGGCAATTCTGCTGTGTCTTGCATCAGATTTTTGGTAAAGCTAACCAGAATGGGTACTGTAGATAATGCCAACACTGAGGGCGCACATATGTACCTAATTATAGGGACAGAAGAACACAGGCAAGTTCTAGATTAGTATCTTGGTCATCGCTGTGACAAATTGCTGACTGCAATTTGTCCACACTTCCTTTCAACACAGAAATGGAAGAAGAGAGTTCTGGCTGTTAAGCGATGGTCCAGGTGGAATCTGAGATCTCCCATATCCTTGTAAAGAAATAGAGTTGACCTAGGGTACAGAGAGGAAAGGAATGAGCTATTAAGGGGGATTTCATGGAAAAGACAGAAACTTGGACAGGCTTTCAGAATGTTATTCTACCTCACTACTATGAAGTACATTCCTGAAATCCCTGCCATGCCTGTTTCTTGACCTGACCTACCACAAATGTCTGACATCAATGTTGAAAGCCCATGCAAGTTTCTCTCTGTCCCAGCTTATACTAAACAAAATCAAGGTGGGGTCATTTTGTGTTTCTTACTCACGCTTCCCCCTTTCTGTGTAATCTTTTCTTCAAGTCCTTCTTAATGGCTTGTTCCTTCCTTCCTTATTCTCAAAATCAACTCTACATTCCTTTACAATCTCCCTTGGAAACAGCAGCCAAAACTCCTAAACAAGGAAATGACCATTATATCAAATGACAGTGGTATTATAGTTACATACAACCCACACGTTCGATAAATAGTCAGCCAAAGTTTTAAGCAGCCAAAGATTGAGGACAGCAAGGATTATAGTCCAACTCATATATATGGGGGCCTGTGGAAGGCTAATCTTAGCTATATGTGCCAAGAAAGTTGAATTCAACCTTGCCTTGTAAATATTTCTGTCGTTACTAACCTGGAAACTAGTAGCAGTAGAGACTGACTCATTGAATTGCTGGCATAGTATCCAAGGTCACATAGTTTGGAAAAAGTCCAAAATGTCCAGTGCTGACACTTTCTTTCTTTCGTCTCCCATGGCTCATCTCTCACCTACCCTGGGTGAAAAGCCTCCTTCACTCTCCCCAGCTGATGAGATACTCACCCAATTTCTACCTGACTGTGATGAAAAATAAAATATGTCATCCAAAGGCATTCCTAGATAGAATTATCCAATGAAAACTATTCCATTTTTCTCCCCACAAAGTCTGAACTAGCAACTTTCTCAACAGAAATGGGCAGAAATAAAGCAGAACAGAGTTTCCAGACATCCCACCCAAGTCCTAATACAGACCTTCCCCCCATCCACACACACACAATAATTACAAATTTACTCATACAATTTGTGTAGAAAGCAGGAAATGTGAGAACTAGAGATTCTGGGATTCTTCCAATATTGGTTCTGAAGCACTGAACCCATACTGCTATTACATTTTTCTCAACTATGAGCACCATTTCCAGAAACAACACAGAAGTTAACTGCAAGTAATAAATAAGTGCAGCGAGAATCAAAGCCAGGATAACCAAAGTATTCTGCAATATGCTATCCTCTTTTCCAGGGGATAAAATAAAATATAGGCTCACTTAACTGAAGTTCTTAGTATAATATGCAAGATCAACTTGCTAAAGCTGAAACTTGCACTGGAGATCTGTTCTGCCTTAAGAGGAAGGGTATGTGATTCTGAGGTTGATTTTCTAGAATTTGCAGGACATTTTGATGCCATATGTGGAACAGAATAAACCCAACTTCCTCAGCCCAAAATCCTGATTTAAAGGTTAAGAAGAGAGACGGGCTAACTGTAATTAAAAGACAAAATCAACAGAGCATGCAAGTGCTGGAGGCAGTGGAAGCCATGACAGAAAGCAAAGCAGCTAGAAAGATAGAAAGCAAGAATTAAAGTTTAAATAATACAAAAGAAAAAAAATTAAAAACTGTTTGTATAAACATGTTGTGGCATGGAAGCGTTTAAAATTTCCCAAGACAGCAGCTAAACATACTTTGTGGGAAGATATCAGAGAGATTCACTATTTATCTAAACAGATTCAAAGCTGGCAATAACAGGTATAAAACCTTTCGGATTCTAAAGGCATTTCCTTATGAAATACAGTTTCTCTGAATCTATCACAAGACAGTGTTAAAAACACACCTTTAGCATTATATGATTATGGGTGAAATTTGTAGCGTTCTATTGCTGTTTCTCCTGGCTTCCCACCAGGAAGCCAGCAAGAAGTTGCAAGGAGGTCCTTGCTTAACGACCCACGATCCTCCCTTAACGACAGCAACGGGAACTGCCGGGATTGCCGTTGCTAAGCGATGAGGTCACGTGACATCGTGCTTTACAACCACATCGCTTAGTAACTGAAATTCCAGTCCCGATTACTGTCGTTAAGCGAGAACTACCTGTAACAGCATCAATCTGGTACCCTCATCAACTTGCTTGAATTACCCACAGCAACTTGTGATGAAGGTCATTAACCTAAAAGATTCTGCCACATTCTATTTTCTTAAGACCAGATTCATCCGCTTGCAGTTTTTGTGAAGAGCACCTATCCTCACTCCAGTCACCTTACTGAAGTACAAGCTTGATTTGACACTCAAACAATAGAAACTATTAAATATTTGCCAGTTAAATATTACTAGGAGTGTTCAAAAGCTTTAGTTGTAGGGTGGCAGGCATGGAGATGAGATTCGCGTCTCTTTCTCAAGTGCCATTTCTGTTTTGGGTGAAGTAGGACACTTTGGAAAAACACAGACAGAAGAGGTCTATACAACAGAGTTTGGACTAACTTAACAGGAAGGAAAATGAAGCCTTAAAAGCTCCTCCTTCAATGCAAGATAATCAAACAACTATGTAAATATTATTTCATTTTTTTTAAAGCAAGCACTATTAGAAGAAGGCAGGAAGGAAGATCTGATATACATAAATAGTTGCCTTCTGCAGATTCGGTCCAAAGATTTAACTAAACAGAGAATTACTTGCTTCATCTCACAGATTATTTCAAAATCTCAGACAAAGAAAACCTGAACTGCTGTATGGTCCTTTAGAAGGAACTGGTGAGGTTTAAATTTGCATTTGAATTATTCAACGGAATTAACACCTTAGAACTAAACGTTTCTCGTTCTATTTAAACCATATCACAGACACATCAGAAAAAAATATGCTGCGTATATATTCAGACTAGAATTGACAAGATCAGTTTTTTTTTCTTTTCTGAAATAATGTTAAACCTCTATTTTCATTTATATTAAATAACTGCAGAACTTCCTTTTTGAGGCGAAGTAAGACAAGTGTATTTTAAGCAGTTTTTAATTACATTCTCTGAGAAGAAAACTAATTAACTTCCATGGTTAATCTGCAAAATGCAAATGAAGTCATACAGTTGCATGAGCCAGTCAGAAAGCATGTTTAGTTTGGCTTCATCAGCAGTTGATAGCCTACAGTCACTTGCAAATATGAAAATACATTAAAGCACTTTCAACATGTTATCAGAACTTATAAAAAGACTTTCATCCACAAAAAAGAAATAAATATTAACATTCCTGTTCAAGACACAAACATAGCCTCCATTACTGGCAACCAGCATGGGGATGTGACTGGAATGATGACATCTGGAAGAAACCAGTTTAGAATTATTGCCTTTGCCTATCACAAAAACTACTCTGGAAGGATATTAAAAACCATAATGCCATTTACTTTGGACTCTAGAAGATTACTTGATTCTTCAGCTACGCTTGATGTATCTTGCTGGTCTAACATCCAATGATTCAAGTCCACCAAGGCACAGCCTTTCTGCATCTTTTAATTTTGAGATGGTGGCACTTTCTCCCCTAGTTCCACTGAGGGCAAAAGTTCAAGCAAAATCCTATCCAATTGTTCTACCCGCATTCTTCAAACTGGATTTTGCCAATTCCTTTTATCTCTAGTTCTTTCAGATTTCTTCTGATGTTACTATTCTATGGAGAACTTTGAGTGATGAAATGCTTCTTTCTTTAACCACAATAAAAAAAGCAACTTCAAATATTCATGAAGGTTCTGTTAATTTTAGCCAGATGGTACACATCCATGTAAAAGAGAATAATTATCTTAATTAACACCTTAGCAGCCAAGGCACAAATATATTCTTGTGCTGAATGAAGACTACATTTTAAAAATGGCACTGTGACACTTCATAAAACAATTTGATTCAAACACGTCCAGCTCTCCAACAGCAACATAATTTGTGAACAGTAAATGTTACAAGGCTTAACTGGAACGTCAGAGTACCCTCAAAATATCTTCACCAGCATCATATCATGAACAAATTAAGCTATGGCTAGACACACTAACTGAAACAATTAAAAGTGGTGTTTCCATGGATATACTAATCCCTCCAAACCACAAAGCTAAAATAATTCTAGAGATAAGACTGGAAGATAAGAGTGCTGTTTTTAAATTGAAAGGTTAATCCTTGCAGGCCAAAAGGCTTGAAAACTATTTACACTGTCGTCAGTAACTGACATTTTGTGCAACATGCTAGAACACTGTTGGTGGTTTTTCCAGGCACAGAAAACCGATTCTAGTTATGGTCTTACAGTAAATCAGTGATCCAATCCCACCGTATTTTTCATTGGGCTGGATATTCTCCTGAAGACACCTGCATATCTTCATTTACTTATTTATTTTTCAAAATGAGTCACCGCCCATCTCACTCAGTAAGGGATTCTGGGCAGTTTACAGTAAAAACGAAAAATAAATACTGGTTAAAATACTGATTAAAATACAATAAACCAACGTTCAATGAATAAATAACATCTTCCAAGGTAACTGATGGTAAGTGATGGTAGTTGACTTGTGGGAGCGTCTTCAAGGTGCCAGCCACCCCCAGGGTTGGTTACCCCTCCTCATGCCCCACAGGAGCCATGGGAAAAGCCAGGTCTTCGCCCCTTTCCGGAAGGCCGGGAGAGTGGGGCCTCGCCTCACCTCTGGAGAAACAGTGTTCCACAGGGTGGGGGCAACAGCAGAGAAGGCTCTTCTCCTGTTTCTATCTTATCTGGCTTAACATTGTCTTGAGAATCTCACAGAACCCCAAAACTGGGTATGCTGGCTTGGGTTTCAGGACTATACTTTTTAAAACCTTCAGAGAGCCCTAGCCTATGTGTATTTGTTTTAAATACACTATAATTATCCTTAATTATGACCATTTTACTTTTTTTTCCCTTAAGAAATTCACAAAACCACACAGCACTCTTCCTGCAGGAAACACCACATTGAGAAAACAAAACGCTACCTACAACCCTATTAAGTTATATGCTATTCATATGGAATTTGACCC